TTCTTTTGGCACATCATGGCTTAAGCCCCTATATCCGCATACAAGATGCCGACCCAAATGTTAATAATATCCGCGCACAGAGGGAACTCCAAAACAAGTTTGTTTTTTTTTAGTCATTCACAATTTCGCAGTGCATAATACTTGTAGTTACATATTTGACCTATATACACTATACTTTCCTTTTATATTTTAGGGTAAAGTACAGAAATATCCCTTTACTTTAGGGTGTTACTTTATTGAGTCCTCCAACTATTAAAAATTAAAATAGCTGCTTCCGGAATCAGAGCAGATACTGCAATTCTATCAAGGTTTTCTACTGAATTGCTCTTCTCTTCTCTTCTCTTTCTTTTTTTAATGTTTTTCTGTAAATGATTTGCATGCATTCAGAATAATGTTTCCTCATTTAGAAAATGAAACTGAGTGAACTGTAAATGTTGGAAATTAATTTACCCTGTGAATTTATTGATTTGAGCCATTCCCAATCTACTGCCCATCCTTTTTGAACTATGAGTTACTTGGCTTCTTTGATATTTTACATCTTTTAATCTGTTGATTTCAAACCGTTTGAATATGGCCATCTGCCGGTGTTTTCTTGTGCAGAAAGTATGCTTAATGCAAGGAACAATATGTCTTTATAGGATCCAACTGGAGAAAATGATATGTTTGGGTGTTCCTAATTCCAGATGATTGTTGTTTTCATGCATAATTTGTTGCTTTTTAATAGAGTTTCTTCCATTCATCAATCATTCTTGCTTGATTGATATCATTTGCTTGTTCACCTGTTCTTTTTTATGAGGATTTTTATTGTTCTTATGCATTGCATAGTAAAATGACATTGTTTTATTGGTTTTTTTTGCAGGAGTTGGGGGAATTCTTACTTGCTTGAGCCACTTTGGTGGGCAGGGATGATAACAAGTAAGTTTTATGGATTTCTCATTGATCATTAACTCCATAACTCATGAATTTTTCATTCATGTTGAAAACTCTTTCTTTATATTCCTTTTCACCTTTTTCTTTTCAAATATTATCCCTGAAAGATATCTAATAGAAGTTATCTAACATGAATTAAAAATGGGAGGCTCTTGTCAATTATATATCGTGCATTTATAGAAAAATAGTTTTTTCTTTCTGTACTTCTTAATCTGTAGGGACTAATCAAACCCTACATTCTCTTTAAATATAATGAGTTGTTTGGCTAGCTAAAGGTTCATGATTATTGAAGAAAAATGTGGTTTTTACTGGTAACTGGCTTTGAAACAGTGGTTGTGGGAGATATTGCTAATTTTGCAGGTTATGCATTTGCACTAGCAATACTGGTCCCTCCTCTAGGTGCCCTCAGCATCATTATCAGGCAAGAAAGTTTTTTACATTTAGGTTTGGGATTTCGGTGTTGATCGCTAATCATTGTTTCTCTTTCAGTGCGGCACTTGCACATGTCATTTTGCGGGAAAGATTACATATTTTTGGGGTTCTTGGTTGTGTTCTGTGTGTTGGGCTCTACAACAATTGTGTTGCATGCTCCCCTAGAACGTCAGATTGAATCCATAACAGAAGTTTGGGATCTTGCTACAGAGCCAGGTTTCATTTTCTTAATAATATTGTTCTCAGCTCTTGGCATATTTTCTTCTGTTTAGATTGGGATCTTGCTATAGAACTTTAATTTACCTTATTGATGTTTAGTTTTATTTGATATCAGGATTGGGATGGGCAGAGTCCGACTCATATCATAGCCGAGGTATGCTGGTTCGTGACCATCCTTTGGGGAACTTTTCTTCCGCACAAAACCAAAGATATGGTTAAGGGTATGTTCTCAGAGACCTTGAAGAATGTATTATGTAGTTGAGAAACATCCATCATTCCACTCTTCGCTTCTTAAACAATCGATGGATTACGTCTGATCAGGTCCGGGTTTATCAGCATCTTTGTCAATGAGGTCATTAAAGCATGGAGAAGTGGATGGCTTCGGTGAAGGCATCCCTCTTAAGCGGCAAGAGACAGAGAGAAATATCTTGATCGAAATTTAAGGTCGGTCCGCCGTTCCTTCAAAAGCTCGAAACAGCAGCCGAGGAGAAACCTTGTAATTTTTCATATCTGGAGACAGAATGAGGTGAGATTTTTCTCTGGTTCATTGGCCCTCTCTGCCTCTGGCTTGAAGCACGAAAAATGTGTAGATTGAAGCTTTCTTTTTTGGCCTTTGTATACAGGAAATATGACCCTCTAATGTTATTGGAATGTTGAGCACTGTGGTATTTATATTTATAGAAATTTATACCGTTAAATATATGGATTTATATTAATAAGAGAATGTTTTGTTAAAAAAATAAAATTATCCGTATTTATTTTTTTTAAATAATTCAGTGAGAATATTGTATAAAAGAGAGAGATTTATTTAGTCTAAGACCAAATTAATTTTATATATGTTCATAGTTTTGTATATATTTGATATTTAACAATTTGATTGTTAAATTTATCAACATAATTGACAATAAACGCTTAATCACATTACTGTAATCGTTGGTGCTCGAATTCGTGACCTCTAGAAATATCAATGATTCCTTTAACCGTTGAGGTAAGTTGATTCGTGCCGATTTAATAAATTTTTATGTCAAATAAATAACCATATCTTTTACTTAAAATTCGACTCTAACCGTATATCATGAAACTATTTTCTCATATAGGTATACATAAAAATATATAATATGGATCCGACTTTTAAAAAAAAACTGTTTTTTAATATTTTATTAAGCGGATAAAAGTGGAAAGTTTGGGATCTTGCAGAGCCAGGTTTCATTTTCTTAATATTGTTCTCAGCTCTTGGCATATTTTCTGCTGTTTAGATTGGGATCTTGCTATAGAACTTTAATTTACCTTAGTGATGTTAGTTTTATTTGATATCAGGATTGGATGGGCAGAGTCCGACTCATATCATAGCCGAGTATGCTGGTTTCGTGACCATCCTTTGGGGAACTTTTCTTCCGCACAAAACCAAAGATATGGTTAGGGTAGTTCTCAGAGACCTTGAAGAATGTATATTTAAGAAACATCCATCATTCCACTCTTCGCTTCTTAAACAATCGATGGATTACGTCTGATCGGTCCGGGTTTATCAGCATCTTCATGAGGTCATTAAAGCATGGAGAAGTGGATGGCTTCGGTGAAGGCATCCCTCTTAAGCGGCAAGAGACAGAGAAATATCTTGATCGAAATTTAAGGTCGGTCCGCCGTTCCTTCAAAAGCTCGAAACAGCAGCCGAGGAGAAACCTTGTAATTTTTTCATTATCTGGAGACAGAATGAGGTGAGATTTTTCTCTGGTTCATTGGCCCCCTCTGCTCTGGCTTGAAGCACGAAAAAATGTAGATTGAAGCTTTCTTTTTTGGCCTTTGTATACAGGAAATATGACCCTCTAATGTTATTGGAATGTTGAGCACTGTGGTATTTATATTATAGAAATTTATACCGTTAATATATGGATTTATTTTTAATAGATATTTTTGTTAAAAAAATAAAATTATCCGTATTTATTTTTTTTTAAATAATTAAGTGAGAATATTGTATAAAAAAGAGAGATTTATTTAGTCTAAGACCAAATTAATTTTATATATGTTCATAGTTTTGTATATATTTGATATTTAACAATTTGATTGTTAAATTTATCAACATAATTGACAATAAACGCTTAATCACATTACTGCAATCGTTGGTGCTCGAATTTGTGACCTCTAGAAACATCAATGATTCCTTTAACCGTTGAGGTAAGTTGATTCGTGCTGATTTAATAAATTTTTATGTCAAATAAATAACCATATGTTTTACTTAAAATTCGACTCTAACCGTATATCATTAAACTATTTTCTCATATAGGTATACATAAAAATATATATAATATGGATCCGACTTTTAAAAAAAAACTGTTTTTTTAATATTTTATTAAGCGGATAAAAGTGGAAATTTGTCTGATATAACCAAAATCTAATAAAATTGACTTTTGCATTATTTTATGTACTAAAATTAGGGAGCTAAATTATTTAATTTTGAAACAATTAAATTCATAGAAGTAATTCAATCATAAAAATTGAAGAAATTAGACTTGATTTCAGTAGTTTTTAAATTAAAATATTTTAAAAAATAATTAAATAAGAAAAATTAAGAGTTAAGACTTAATTTTATTAATTCAAAATGGATAAAACCTTAAAATGTTTAATAAAAACATGCAATTAAACCAGCATAATCGAAATCATGGCCTCCCACTAACAACGCAGCCCCTTCCATGTTCAACTCGAGCTACACTATTACAAATTTCAGAGGAAACTGCATTTTATATTAGATGACGAACTTAAATTTGAACTTATAAAGTCTTAAGATTGTCGAAAAATACATAGAAAAGTTTAAAATATATCATGATTTTAAATTTTAAGAAGACAACCGACCCATCTACCCCGCTTAGATCCCGACGTAAAGTTATCAAAATCCAAGAAATTAGTTTGAAGTGATTTTAATTTTTTTTAAAGAAATATTGCATAGATAGTGATCATTGGGAAAAGACATTCTCATCCATTCTATTTTTCTTGAATTTCCGTTGATGTTTGTAAGCACTTTGGAACATTGACAAGCAACATCCTAGATAAAGTAATCTTTTTTCTTCCTTTTTCCCCCGGAAATCAGGCAGACCAAACCACCAAGGAGAAGTGGGGCTTGCTTAATTAATTAATTTAAAATCACAACAAGCAAGCAGCATGCCTACTGCCGATGGAGGGAAAAAAAAACATGCATACAGCAGTGTAAACAAAACAGCATTAAATAAACCAATTTAAAAAAAAGTGACAATGGCTTGCAACTTGGTAAGACAACACACTACTGACAGAACATGCTTTCCGGGGGTCACTTTGAAACTTGAGAAGAATAAAAAGGACTAAATTGACACTTTATAGAACTGTTTAATCTTTGGAAACGATAAAGGTTGTGCCTTTGTTTCCCATTTCTGAATTTGTCATTTTTAAATTTAGATAAATTTATTTAAACACCTGTAATAATCTAACACAAAACAAATATCCTCCTATACAAAAACAACTCTATTTTCTCTCATTACTGCTCTCTGTGGTGTCCCCTTCGGACATCAAACATAAATTACAAACTCAGACTTCATAAAAACCAGAAATCAAAATGGACAAACAATACTAACAATGGCACAGATTGCATGTATTCATTTTTCTCAAGGTGAAAAAAGGAAATAAATCCCAAGGCACTCAATCATGTAATATATATGGGAATTTAATTAAAAACCCTAGCTACTGACCAACTTTGTGTGTTTAATTCTCCGAACATCATTGAGAGTTATTAGGGTCTTCATCATCTCCACTATCTGTACCTTCAGGTTGGTGTTGTTGATGATGATGATGTTCGAGTGGATTATTTTGGTCCGAGTTAATGTTCGGACCGCCTCTAGAATAGGCATTAAGAGCGGCCAACATGCCTAAATTAGTGTCGGACGTACCTAAACCGAGGTGATGAGGAGGAGGAGGTTGCTGCTGCTGCATTAACATTGAACCTAATTGCAGAGGACCGGCTCTACCACCTTGGAATTCAGGGTTACCTGGAAGATTAAATCTTGGTAGGAAATGTAATGGCGCTTGCATTGTGTTTCCGCTTGCTGTTCCAAATGGCCACATCTGGGGTTGACCCTGGTCAGCCCCAGATGTACTCGAAGTCATCGATGGGCCACCAGCGCCAGCAGTGGTCATCGGTAACATCCAAAATGTACTTCCAGCTCCGCTGCTCGGTGCTGGTGCTACTGCCCACATAGCAGTAGCAGGCAGTATATTCGATGGTCGAAGTAGACCTGAAGATCCGACATCTTGTTGTTGTTGTTGTTGTTGTTGCGGTTTCGATAATTGGCTTAAACCGGTTTTGAAAGCCTTATTAGGACAATCATCTCCGCCACCACTACCACTTTCGCCTTGTTGGTGGTTATCATCCTTAAACAAATCCTCTCTGAAACGTTTCCTCATATAATTCTCACTTAAACTCCCACCATCTCCGCCGCCGGGTAAAGTTTCGGCTATTTGATCATCCGTTAAAAAATGCTGCTGTTGTTGCTGCTGCCGATGAAATCCCAACAAAGCGCTATGAGCGAACCCTTCGTCATATGGGTGGTGATGATGAGAAGCCAAAGCTAAAGCGCCATGGAAGGAGTGAGGAACGGATTTTGAAGGTGGAGCTGAAAGCGTTGAACCGCTGCTTCTTAAAGAAATATTAAGAGTTGAAAAATTGGCCGGTATGGTACCAGTTCCGGTGGCTGCTATTATCGCCGGTTCAGCTTGTTGTAAAAGCCACTCAATTGTTTCCCCATCGGATTTATGACCTAATTCTCTAGTCAATTGAAAAACCCTAGCTGCACAAGTAGCTGGCATTCTGATACGGCGGCCTCGACCATCGACTTTGGTGTGTCGGTCCTTGGTGGAGCGCTTCGCTGGTGGGTTAGCGGCTGCTGCCGTCGCCGTCGTTGTAGATGAAAGCGAAGAGTTCGTTTGGTTCTTGGAATCTATGTTGAGAGAACTAGATCTGGTAGCGATAGCAAGAGAGGCGTCAACGAGCTGAGGTGATGGGTTCGTTGCAGTGGTCGAAGATGATGAAGAAGAAGACGGGAGAGGCGGCGTTGCTGCGGCGGCGGCGGTGGTTGTAGTAGTTGGACGAAGAAGAAGGTGATGATGTTGAGAAATGGAGCCCATATTAAAAGGGTTAACTGAAGGAGGACCCGGAGATCTGGTGTCATCAAAAGGAACCACAAAGTGAGAAGAAGAAGAAGAAGACTGTTTTTGATGTTGAAGCTGCTCTTCCTGCTGCTGGTGGTGCTGATGGCGGTGCGATTCTTCGGAATTGTTGTTGGCTTGCTTATTGTTTTGCAAATCTGTAAGTTCCATCTGGTGGGGTTTCCAGGTTTTTGAAAGGTCTGGATTTTTTTTTTAATTTTTATACTAAAATGTGTTTTCCATCATCAATCCCATCTTGTTCTCTTCCTTCTCGCCTCTCTCCAAGTCATCACTTTTATTTTGTTTTTTTCTCGAGAAAAAACAAGATAGAGAGAGAGAAATAAAAGAAAAAAGTTAAATTCTTTTTTTCTTTTGCAGAGTCTGGACATAAGTAAGACTAAGAGTTTGTGGGGCTTCTTTTCTTTTTGCTTTTTGATTCATTGTGTTATGTTTTGGCTGAGTTGAGAACTAAAGTGGTACGAGTCACAAACCGAGTTAAGCCTAAGAGCCCGGCTAACTCAACCAGGTTGGGGACCTTTTAATGCTAGGTGGTAACATGGTCTAGCCATGTACAACAAGTCCACTCGTAGCGTCTCGTCCTCGTAAAGTAGTATTGTAAATCTTTCACCTTTCCTTGTTTCTAAACTATGATATTTATTATCGATATTAATGATTAATTGTTTTTTGGTATGTAATCTTTGAAGGGTTAAAAAATTTATTATCGATATTAATGAATAAATATTTTATATAAATTTAATAAAATAAAGAACATGAATATATGAATGTTCTGTTAATTTATATTCACAAATAAACTCGTTTATAAACTTGCTTATTGACTCATTTATAAACTCTCCTAATTGATTTTTTTTACATTTTAAATATTGGTGAAATCAATGACTAAATTGAACATAGGGTGAACATTGAAGTTAAAACTGTGAAGTTTAAACAGCTTAAAGACTAATGGTTAATTTTCACCAATATGTTTGTGATTCTTTTTAAATTTTATTAAACTAAGGTGATTACATAATAGTATATATTCTGAATATTCTCAATCATTTGACAATAAACGCTCAATCATCCTGCTGCAGTCGCTGGTGCTCAAACATGCGACATATAGAAATAATAACGATTTTTTTAACCACTGAGGTAAGTTAATTCGTGCATATGTTTGTGAATGTTAAACAAATGTATTGGCGAACATATAAATGAAATCATTAAGCGACCTTGGTGATAAAAGAGATTCTTTTTCTCCTTATAAGTTTTGTGTTCAAGTAATTGTGTCTATAATGTGCATGTATGCATTGATAACAACTAATAAAGATTTTAAACAAATATTACCTTGTAATCATTGCATACTTAAAAAGTAGAGAGGTTTTCAAATATTAAATGAATATTTTTTCGAATGTTAAACGAACTGAACATGAATACCTTAATAAATAAATAAACAAATAAGAACACAATATTAGAAATTTAAACGACAACGAACTACACATAAACACTTTAAAAAATAAACAAACAAACACGAACACAAACTTATTTGATAAAACTAAATTTATTAACATTCTTATTATTATAAATAAAAACATGTTATATGATTAATATAGAATATGATCGAGCATTATGTCACAACTCATAATTTGACTATATTTTTTTTTTATAAAAATAATATATCTCATGCTTTTCGTTGTTCGAAATTTTATACATTTAAGTGAAAATTTAATTTCAACTTTACAAATATAAAAATAATAAGATTGTGAGAATTTATTTAGCTAAATTTTAAACTTAATCGAGATTTAATATAATCTAACAAAAAAGAATCCCATCAATTTTTCTTTCGGATTTATTTATTTAATATTTATATATAAAAGAATCCCCACATTGACATTGACATAAATTATTTATTTATTTATTTATTTAACATTTGTATATAAAATATAATAGCATATCTCTTTTGCTTTCGGATTTGGATGGCTGTCAAAATGGGCACCCCTTCTTTAATAAGCTGTCCACTTATTATTTATCCGGAAATGACGGAATTGTCCTCCCTTTAGATTCTAGAAAAGATGCCACGTGTTTATTAGTTATATACCCATGTGAAAGAACATCAGATGATCCTTGAAGAAGTTGTTTGCAGCCAGAAACAACTGTATCTTTTTCATATTCAATAAGTTCATCGATTCTGATATGTGAGTGTGTATTTGCTGTTTGTTGCATGCATCTTCAACGAAACTATACTAATTAAACAATTGATGCAAAGAATTAGCGTCAGTTGAAAATCGATCGTTAATCGGTGTCAATGAACTCTGTCTCTCCGTAAGAAGGTAGAGTAGAAAAGAGTTAAGGTGTAGTTTCATTAAGGTTGCATCTGGTGGCGGATCCAAAAATAATTTTGAGGTTAACACATGTGTTAATAATATAAAAATTTTGAATGGTTGAGCATAAATAAAATTTCAGGGTGAGCACCGACAATAAAATATGTAACTAATCGAATAAAATTTAAATTTTATGGTGGACACCATCAATAAAATAAGTGATTGGTTAAAAAAAATTGAATTTCAGGGTGGGCACGTGCCCACCCTGAGTCATGAATGGATCTGCTGTTGGTTGCATCTTGTCTCTCGGTCATGCTTGAGCTGAGGTGAGTGTTTGATCTGAGTTGGGCTAAAACTTTTGAGTTAGTCGAGTTGACGAATCCTATTTTATAACATAAACTTTATTTGAAACTTTTTCGAGTTAAATTATTTGAGTTTCTATCTAAATTTAATTATAATTATATGTAATGTTACAATACTATTTCATTATAATTTAAACGATTTTCTATAATCATATACAATATATATATTCCTTTATATTTTTCCATATATAATATGCATATATCATGCATGGTTGATGGACTCGACTTAAACTTGAAAATCAATCTATTAATTGCTAAAAAAGTTTGAGTTATTCGAGTTCTATTTTATATCTCAACTTGAATTTGAATTTTTTTGAGTTGAATTTATGAAATTACAAGTTGAGTCAAATCGAGTTAAGTAAAAAAAATTGATTTTTTTTCAAGTTAGACAAATTTTGCTTCAACCTTATAAGAGGTTATATAGGGTCTTGTTAGTGTGTTACTCGTATGACTATAATGACTATCCGTATGTGACCGACTATGTGAATACAATCATGTAACAATGAATTTTCTCTCGTATGTTACGTTAGCTTGTCAAAGGTTATATCGATTAGTCGTGATATTTTAAAGAATATTAAGCATTTAATATTCTTCTTTTGGAGATGTTCTCTCTATGTCTTTTGAAGTCTTATTAGTGTCGAATAATCGAAAATATTTTAGTATCCTCCAATAAACACGAGGTGTGATGAGGACATTTGGCGAGGTATAACAATCTTCTTTCACATTTGTTCTCTCTACCCTCTTTAGTTTACACAGTATACATGCCAATAACTATTTTCGTTCTTGAATCTTATATACATTATACTTATGTATCATAGTAAGTTTAAAATCTATGATCTAAGAGAATACAAGGGAACAAAGATTACTAGTTTGGTTAGTTGATCAAATGTTCTTGCTCCAAAATAATTATTTTTTATAAATTTTAAATCTAATTTCGATCTTACCTATAGGGAAGGGGGAGGAGTGACCATAGAGGAAGGAAGATAAATACTCGTAATGGGGTTAAAATTCATGACATAAGATATTATAAAAGAATACAGATGAGCAGTATGACTATCAGATCAAATATGCTTGATCCAAAACAATGCAAATGTATCCGATAAAAGAAGAAGAAGAAGCTTGTTATAGATTATAATCTGTCAACATTAACCATCCAGCTAGTACCCCCCACAGGACCCACTTTTGTATACTTAAAATAAACATAAAGGAAGTATTCCGAAATGGACAGATCATCATCCAATCTAATCCATGATTAGCCCCACTAATGACCATACAGTGGTACAAATCCTTCATCCTTTTGTATGTATGGATGGACAAGTCGGTTCCAACTAACAAGATTTAATTTAATTTTTTTTTCACATTCCCAGAATTGAATGGCGGTCGCAGGGTCTCGTAAATACTCAACCCCTTACCTGTTTCATTAATTATCCTTTTTTTTTACCGTACCCTACATTTCCAGCCTTGAATGAATCTGCATTTCTTTCTGTTCCAATAAACTTGCCCTTTTTGACATCAGCAGTAAAAAATGGGAAATTTACGGCTATCGTTGTCACCATTGACAAGAGTTATTGATGTACTTTGAGCTACACATGTGGATGCATTTAAGAGGATGCAGTCTAGCCAATGGACCCATTTTATCCTCTTCGATAAAAAGTTAAGGTTAAATTAGGTGTTTAGTATCTAAATTATCAGTTTTAGTATGTTTTAATAATTAAATTTTCATTTTAAAAAAAAACTATACCTAATATTTAGTTTTTATTTCATTTTAATACTATCGTTAAAAACATAAGGACGGGCTTACGCGTCTACAATCGTCGGTCATTGCATCTGTCGGTCAATGAAGCCCAAACTTTTCAACACACAACTTTTTAATCTCCTAAATGCGATTCCAACATCTTTTTCATCGAGGAAAGCCTTAATCTTTCTAAATCAACGATGGAGTTTTCGATTTTTTAATCCACCGATCTCCACGGTCCACCGTCCGATGGGCCTAAAATCGAACTATGTTGGTCGACTCGTCTCGTGGTCCGTCAGAGGTATGTCACCTCAACTTGTTCGTTAAGTTTTTAATGGCAGGGTATTAAAATGAAATAAAAACTAAACGTTATGAATAATTTTGAAAAAAAATAAAAAATTTAGATACTATAATGGACCAAAACTAATGGTTTACGCACTAAACACGCAGTTCACCCAAAAAAATCCCAATCAACAAACTATGATTCTTTTTCTCTTTTTAATTTTCTCATTCAATAATAAAAAATTCCATATTTTAAATATGAAATGTTAGTAGTTTTGGCATTGTAGAAAAACACTTTCAATGGGATGAAAATAACAAAAATTCAGCAAATAATGGACCACCGTATAAATTCGTTTACATATTTGATTTTACAAATTTAATTTTGTAAAATAAAGAAAAAAAAAGTAGGAAAGCTTAAAATAATTTAGGTAATGATTAAATATTAATGATGATTATGTGAATTTAAGCAAGTAGATGAGCGCACATGCAGGTCACGTGAGATTCGACAGACCCTCACTTGATTTGGCGGAGTTTTGTCTGGTTATAAATCTAGTCCTTTTCACCACCGTTCCCAAAGTTTCACGGATAGGAGACTATTCTTCCTC